TGATCTGGCCAGGGCAGTCGCAAGCGATGGAAGAACCTAATGAAGCAGGCCCCATCCGCCGCCGAGCGGCCACAAGAGGTGAGGCAGGCAGTCTGGACTGGTAGAGCCGGACCGAAATATCAAATCGAGGCCAGTTCGGGGAGGGTGCCCAAACGTTCTTCGTGTTTGTTGGATGTTATTGTGCATCCCGGGGATGGGCGCCCTCGAATGTTCTTCCGTTTGGGTCGGCGGAAGGTCTCATGTTCTTGAAAGATGTTTTTCTGTCCTAGGTCCGACCGTAATCGCCCCTGCCCTCCCACTTCCTCTACATTTTTGGGCCGGCGGCGGTGGGGTGGCCCACCGCGGGCAACGCGACAACAGGGCGAAAGAGGAGCTCATTGGGCACAGCCCCCCCAACCCCTTCTGCGCACATCCCGCCCGTCCCGCCGCCCCCATCCCCCCCCCCGCCACCCTGCCCACCGCGCGCCCAGCCGAGCACCCCCGAGCACCACAAACCCGCAAGAGACCCGACCCTTCCCACCTCTCTTGGGGCGCATCCTGACAGTGATTTCGAAGCGAGCCCTGCTGCGGCGGCGAAACATTTTCTCCACTTTTCATAGACTCAATGCAAAAGCGATCCATCAAGCTAGAGATATGTATATACAGTTTTATGCGAGCCGACTAGAAAAGGGCACCGAAGCCAACGTGCTCCGGCGGGGCGTTTCCGGAGCACGTTGGAACGTGCTCCGGCGGAGCGAATCAGGAGCACGCTGGAGAGAGGAGGAGGAGGAGGAAGAGGAGGAGGAGGAGGAGGAGGAGGAGGAGGAGGAGGAGGAGGAGGAGAAAAAAACGAGCGAGAAGACGGTTGCATTTGAAAGCCGCTGTCTTCCTCACCTACTGCGGGAGACGGGGCAACTAAAACAAATCGAAGGAAGCTGGCCTGGAGGCGCAGCGGGCCCTACCCCGCAGAGGGTAGGCAAGGCTGTGGTCGCCGTACCACGCTGGAGCACAACAGACGAACCAGAAGGAGAGGAAGCGAGGGAAAATGGGACGAGGAAAACAAATAGGAGTCTACCTGCGGGGGCGGATCCGGGGCCGCTCAGCCCAGAGCGAATCCACGATCCTCATGCTGGCGCTGTGCCCCGCCACGGCGTTGCGACACTGCTGCTTGATGGCCTCGAACGCTGTGTTCTCCGATGCTCCGCCGAGCGGTCTGTATTGGTTGGTCGTATTATACACGGCGTACAGGAGGACTGCCATGCAAGTCAAGGCCTCCGCGTCCTCCGAGAACACCTGGTGCGCCAGCATAAAATGGTTAACTGTGAAGGGGGTGATGCGGCGCATGTTGAGGAAGTTATCGGCGACCCGTCGCACGCACCTGCAAAATATATAGTGCTCGATCGAATCCTCCGCATGGCCTGGGCAGCCCAGCAAACACTGGTTCGTGGGGAGGCCCGATTCTGGAAACGACGTGGCGTGCACCATCTGTTCCACAACGTTGACAGACATGCGGCTTGAACACGAGGTGCAACCAAGCCAGGCAGGCGTTGAACATGGCGTGCCAGACGGGCGGCCGAGCGTGCCGGCGGGCCCGACAGATGCCACCTGGCCGTCTTGTGGCGGATCCGCCCGACGAAATCAGGTTGGCCCTTCGCCTTAAGAAGCTTGTAGGCCTCACGCTGGAAGCCATTGCGCACCCTTCGCTCCATCTTTGGCCCGTCTTCTACGCTTGGGGATGCGAGCTTGATGTTGGACGCGATGGTGTCGAATGTGAGGCCCCTGGCACTCATGGAGAGCAGGTTCCGGTAAAGCAGAACAACGTACGACCTCGAATACAAGTCATTCCAACGAAATCGCCTCTGCAGGAAGGAGGGCGCCCCGATCAGCCCTTCCATTCGCCTAGCCCGGGTGCCCAAGGAGCCCCCCGAAGCAGTCCACGATTCATGATGAGCAACTCGGAGCTGGGCCGCCTGGGCCATTAGCTCAATCGAAACGCACGATTTGGCCTGCCCATAACCCTCCCGAAGGTACCACAGGTCCTCCTTAGAAGCCCAGTGGCCAGGGCCGGGGGCGACCTTGCGGAGCGGCGCCGTTTCGTGCGCGCGCGCCCGCGGGGGGGGATTCTCCAGCTGGGCGAGGAAGGAAAGAACAGAGACCGCATACACGTTGTACGCGAAGATGCCGATGTGGAGCCCCTGGTGAACATACGCCCAGGTCGTCGCCCTTTCGGCGTACTTCTTAAGCGCCTTGTCCCAGGAAGAATCGCCCTTGCGCGGGCTCACGGCGAAGCCCAGGTAGACGCCGTGATAGCCGAAAGAGACCGGGGCCTAATCTGAGCAGGCCGCGAGCGAGGATCCGAGCCTTGACGATGTCCAGCTCCTCATCCCCGAGGGGGATGATCAGCGTCTTGGGAAGGTTCAGGTCAAGGCCGGATATGCGTCCGAACTCTGCGAAGATATGGTGGACGACTCCCGCGTCTCGCAGCCAGTTCTGGGAGACAGCTCCGATATCATCTGCAAATGCTCTGGCCGCCAAGTCGGGGACCTTGCGTTCCAGCCGCCGGAGTAGGATATCCACCGTGACCGCAAAAAACAAGGGTGACAAGGGGCAGCCCTGGCGGTTGCCCGCCGCGACGTCGAATGCCTCGTAGGTGGGCCCCTTAAACTGCAGGGTGCACTTGACGTGGCTGTAGAAAGCCTTGAGGGCGTTGAGGGGGCCAGGAGGAAGCCCGATGTGTTCCAGCACCGCGAACGTGTAGTCGTGGGAGAGAATCGGGAAGGCGGCCTTGAAGTCGAACAATACAAGGCCCCCCCCCATTCTTCCCGCAGGCTGACCGTCATGGCGGCTTCGTCGACGTCGATGATGTTCATGAGCATGGACCTGCCTGTGAGGAAGCCGCGCTGCGCTACGCAGACCCAGTCGTTGAATATGGGCTCCCACGCGAGCTTCATCGCACTCGCCACGAGGCGGCTGTCCGTGTTGACCACGGCCAAGGGGCGCGTGTCCCCCGGCCCGAAGAATTCGCCGAAGAGGTCATGCAGGCCCGACGCTTTTTGGGGGAGGCAGCAAAGGGCACCAAGGTTGAAGTCGTGTCCGACGCCGCCATCCTGGGCGGAATAAGCCAAAGCCAGCAGCGTGTCGGAGTTGTCGAACTGGAGCTCCTGCGCGACGTCGAACAAGGTGTCTGTGGCCAAATCGCCCAAGGCACGCCACACCCGGTAAAGAATCTTATCCGGGCCGGGGGCCGAATTGCGGGTCTGATGGATGGCTCTTCGCACGTGTCGCGCGAGACTCGCCACGCTTGCTCTCCCGGGAGGCCTGCCGATCCTGGGGCGCCGAACTGTGAGCCAAGTTGCGAGGAGTTATGTGTCGATCGCCTTCTTGCTGAAGACTTCCTTCCAATGTGTCCAGAGGATGCCCGCCATCTCCGCGGGGTCTGTGGTGATGGCGCCGCGCGGTTTGCACATCGCGTTTACGGCCGTAGCGCCGCCAGGCATAAGCCGCTTTAGCCTCGTCAGAATGTGCTCCTTGCGGCGCCCGCGCGCCTGGTCGTCCGCAGAGCGGGTCTCCTGTTGTAGAGCCAGCAGCTCCTCTGTAACCGACTCTCTGGCCAGCTCCAACACGTGGTCTTGGACTTTCCGAAAATCAAGGTGGGAGCGGAGGTTGGGATCGCCGACCGCACAGAGCTCGTGGAGCTTGGGGTAAGCCAGAGCGCACTTTCGCATCAAGGACAAGTTGACTTTCTCCGCCGCGCGGATGAATGTCATCCCCCAGCCGGCCCGGTCCTCCGCAGAATAGGCAACATCGGTTTGCTGCTCGTCGGCCATCCTGATGGTGACCTCACGGATGGCTTCCCTCAGTAGGAGGAGACGTCGGACCGCCAGACCACGTAGCGGGTCGCTGGAGATCTTGTCCACGAAGCTGAGATCGATCCGCTCCTTCCAGGCCTCCTTCTGCAGCAGTGGCCCCATGGGCAGCGGAGGCGTCCAAGACTCCGGTTTGGAGCCTCGAAGACGGCGGAAAGAAAGAGGGCGATGTGAAGATGTCCTCTTGTCGAAATTCAGGGCGGCACTGCCGAAGCTCCTGTCCAACTGAGCTGATATGTGCTGGTTGACGTAGACCCTGTCCAAACGAGACTGCGCGCCCGCGTTGGAGAGCGTAAAATGCCCCTGGGCGCACTCTACCAGGCCGAACGGCCTGCCCAGAAGCGACTGGAAGGCGTCCTCGTCGGGTAGATCTCCAGCGCCAGTAAATGAGCCTGCAGTGCTGCAGTAACGGCCCGCGCCGGTCGGCACGTAATTTAAGTCGCCCGCAAGCGCGGCGAGGGATGCCTCCGGAGGGCGGAGAAGCGCCGCGAGTAGTTCCATTGAGCGCTGGCGGCGCGTTCGAGAGCCAGGCCCCGTTGCCCAATAGATGCCCGCGATGTCCAAGCTCCCAGCAGGGCCGTCGAGCCGAAGGATCGAGCATCGCCCAGGCTCCACTTCAATCCAGCTCTCCTCCGTGACCGGGCCGAACTGCGACAGGAACGCGGTTCTGATGAAGAGGGCGACTCCTGCCTGACGGTTGGTACCATGGTTCCAGAAGACACGAAGGTTCTGGGGAATGCGGAAGCTGTCCGCCTTGCCGACATTCCCGTGCGTCTCCTGGAATAGAGCGAAGTCGTGGGTCTGAGCGAGCGCCATTGCTTTGCGAACCTTCTGGTGCTGGCGGCTGCAGACCGCGGCCATCAACGCTTGGCCATTCCAAGTAACCCCGGCCACATCGCCAGTGAAAGGCATGCGAGCTCCAGGGGCAGCAGGCTGAGGAACGGCAGGAGGGGTGGTGGGGTGGGTCGGGCCGGAGGTCCTTGTCCGCTTCCGCGCAGGAGGAGAATGAGTCGAAGATGATGTAGAAGTAGGGGTCAGACGGATACTGGTGAGGAACATGATGCACTTGAATTCTGAACTAGGTGCACAGCCCCGCTGTGACGAGGGCCCTCTGCTCGTAGAGGGCGAACCCAACCCCTCGGTATCCAAGCCTAGTCACAGGCTATCCCATCCCGTCGCCGATGCATTGGGATTGGCCACGAAGTCGCCGGAGACCTCGATGACGTGGCTCATCCCGTCGAGCTCAATGGCGGTCCCATGGATATGGGCGAAGAGCGTCTCAACCATCGCGGTGTCCCTGGCCTGGACCAGGAGCTTCCCCGCCCAGGCACCATCCGCCGCCAAGATCATCTTCCGCTCGCCCTCAACGAGGTCCTCGGAGGCCCCCTGGCGCATGAGCCTGGTGCCAGCCTTCGTGCAGATCGCCGTGACCAAGGCCTGAGCGAACTCCGCCCCGTCCTTGACATGGATGTCCTGGAGACAGATCGTGGTGTTGAGGGAGCGGCGAAGCTGCTCAGTGTGGGACTGTTTGCGCGCGGCGGCCTGCGCCCGCGTGGCCTTGACGGTGGAGTCCAGGAGCTGCGCTGTGGCGAATGGGCGGCCTCCACCATTGGAGCTCCTATAACGCATCTTTTCGATCGCCGCCTCAGGGGTCAAAGTGCTGGCGTCCGTCACGGCCTGTGCCCAATCCTTCGCTGGGAGGGAGGTGAGAAGAACAGCCAACTTGGGGGGGCCAACACCACCTCCTCCATCTTGTCGAAATGCTGGTCCGCAGCCGTCGAAGCGCCCATGTCCATCAAAATCGCGGAAGAAAGGTCAAATAGGTCGCGAGAGCCCATAAGGCACCCGCGAAAAGCGGGTTGCTTCCGCAGCTCCTTGATGTAGATGCGGAGGTCCATCTCGGAGACAATGTCGCTGTCGAAGGAGAGTGTGAAACATGTGCGCGGGAGGGCGCTCGTACTTCCAAAGCTCTTCCTGGGGCCGTCCACCCCGACGAGCCCAGGGAGAGAGATGGCGTAGACGGCCTGGTGGAAGCGCATCTGGTCCTCCACGGCGAAGTCCAAGATGATGGCCGGCCTGGACTCGTAGCGGAGCAGGGTAGGCATCCAGTCTACGACCTGCTGTCCTTGAAACACCCCTTCGGTCGAGAACTTCGCCACGGCGATCGATTTCAGGTGGTGGAGGGGGCCGTAGGCACCAGGAAAGACACACCTCGTAGGTTGGCGGAGGAAGGAGATCGACTCTAAGATCTTCCTGTGCTTCTTCCCCAGGGCTGGGTGTGTCCAGAGGTCCTGGAGAAACTCGGGGGCGCAACAAGTAGGATAGGGTGTATGCGGGATGAGCAGGCTGACGGAAACCTGGAAAGCCTGGCACACCACAATCTCCCAGACCGCGTCCAGCAAGTGGAGGAGGTGGCGGTTCTCCGTGGGGACCCACATCGTGACATGGCCACCAACGAGCTTCTGCAAGGCCGCCTTGCTCGCCGGGACGCCCTTGGAGATTTCCGCGTACAGGGACCGGGCGTCGGCGATTGAGAGTACCTGGGGCCAAGAGGAGAGGTTGAGGGACTGGAAATTCGACAGCTGGGTCGCCAAGAATCCCCCGTCTTCCAGCCTGTTCATGATCAGCTCGGGGCTCGCCTCCAGGTGCAGGGGGACGGCGCGATGTTCCTGGTCCTCCTTCTTGCGCTCCCGGAGTATGCGAGGCAGCTCCTTGAGGACGTCCGCCTTCGCCATCTCCAGAGTTTGCTTGATGGCGTCGGTCTTGGCACGGAAATCCGCGCCCCAGGAGCTTTTAGCAAGCCCCGCGAGCAGGCTGCCATCGCGAACTCGACCTTCAATCATATCCCTGCTGGGGAGGGGACCCTCGAATTTGGGTAGACCCAGCCGCTTCCAGGGATCCTCCGCCGTGAGGTCGAAGGCCAGGGACTTCATGAGCACGTCCAGGTCGGCGAAGGAATTGATGGCATCGTAGGTTGGCACTTGGCAGGGTGCACCCGCGCGCTGCCGGGTCGCGAGGACCTCGGCGGACGCCAGCGCAATGTTCTCAACGATCTCCGCCAGGCGCAGGTTCATCAGGGCGCCCGCCTCCATGGTGAATACCTGGTAAAAACTCAACCCTAAATCAATAGGGGCACAAGTGGTTGGGCGCCGACCGCCCCCGCTCCGACGTGTGCGCCGAAGGGTGCCAGGTGAGCGCCTCCGGGAAGGCGATGCACACTATGGCAGCCAGCGGATGCAGGGCGGGGCAGGGGGCGTAGCCGCTGCGGCCCAGGCAACAGAGAGGCTTGAGCCAGAGCGGCTTGAGCCAACATGGCCGGGTAAGAGCGGTGCACCTTTCAGACCCTCAAGGGCCCCCCCCTTTGGGCACCAGTGGGCCCCTTTTCTGCAGCCCTCACTGGCCCCCCCCCATTTATCGCCGCCGACTTGCGCGACACCCAAGGCGCGGGAAGGGTAGCGGTGTCGGTACAGCTGGGGCTCGACCACAAGAAACCTTCCACTAGAAACCCAGCCCTGAGACCCCAGGGCGTCATCGGATGTTTGGTGTGGGAAAGCCACGCTGCCCATAACAGAACCATCGACCCCCGAGAAACCCAGGGCACCCTGCCCTGGAGGCAATTGAGGTGTTTCTTGGCATGGGCCTCCACTGTATACCTTCCCCCTCTGACCGAAGCCCTTCCCCCCCTGACCCAAGCCCTTCCCCCTCTGACCCCCTCTGACCGAAGCCCTTCCTGTTGAGCACTTAAGGTATACCTTCCCCCCCTGACCGAAGCCCTTCCCCCTCTGACCGAAGCCCTTCCCCCTCTGACCCCCTCTGACCGAAGCCCTCCTTGTTGGGCACTTAAGGTCTACCTTCCCCCCTCCGACCGAAGCCCTTCTTGTTGGGCAATGAAGGTATACCTTCCCCCCTCCGACCGAAGCCCTTCTTGTTGGGCAATGAAGGTATACCTTCCCCCCCTGACCGAAGCCCTTCCCCTCTGGCCGCACAGGGCGGCGGAGCCCATCGGGCGCGACATGCGGGCCAGGCCCGCCAGGAGCACCATCTCGGCCCTGCTCCCGGGGGGGGGGGGGCGTCTGGGCGGTCGGCGCGCGCCGCCCCCCGGGCAGGGGCTCCTCCTCCGCTCTCTTGCTCTCCCCCTTTTCGTCTCGTGGCTGGTCCTGCTGCTTCTGCTCCTGCTCCTGCTCCTCCTCCTGCTCCTGCTCCTGCTGCTCCTCCTGCTCCTCCTCCTGCTCCTCCTCCTCCTCCTCTTCCTCCTCTTCCTCCTCCTCCTCCTCCTCCTCCTCCTCCTCCTCCTCCTCCTCCTCCTCCCCCCGTTTTTCGCCCTTCTCCCCCCCCCCCCCCCTCCCGCGCCTCCTGCCGCGTACCCTGTGCCTCCTCGCGTTCCTCCTCTTGTCAGTCCTCCTGCCGCTGCCGTTCCTCTTCTTCGTAGTGCCATCGGCGCCACGGTGATCGTGCACTTTCTCTACAAGGCAGATGGCGACGTTCGCGCGTTACTATCTGGATGCGCATCGCGTCAATGTCAGGACAAGGAGAAGAAGATAATAGGAAGGTTGAAAGGCCGACGTTTGTCAGCGTCGACGCCAAACAATGGGTTGTTGCACTCGATGTAAAACACGTGTGGTGTTTGGATGCAATCGCTCTGAAAAGCTTGAAGCTGTCAACTCGAATTCTCGTTGGCAATACTCAATAGTTCCGAAACGTTATTATCTACCAGAACGTGGCAACCGATCCCAACACGCGCAGTGCAAGTATCACGCATATGCCATACATTGCATTGGAAGCCAGTGTGCTTACATGCGGTTGAAAGTTGAAAGCTATGCCTTGTAATGTTGTTGGGCAACCAGTGGTTGTTGATGAGTTTGGCATGAACGCGTGGGGGCGCACGCGCGCGCATGGGCGACGACGGAATTATATAACATATGACTGCAACACATGCAGGATGGCGCTTGATGTTTTTAGGACATGCCAGCTCGGGTACGCGCGGGTGCGGGCCGACTGGACTTACGTGACAAAGATGGCACAAACACATTGACATGCTTTTCTTGTACGGTTATCAAATGCGCGCACGTAGAGCAAAACAATGGCACGAACAGCTGACATGCAACTTGCATGCATTTGTAAATGTAGAGCCCCATGGATACATCAAAACCTTTGGTTATCGTTCGACATGCGCGCGCGAGGGGGCGCGGAGTGGTCTTTCCTCACAAGGAGTATCACGGAACGCGCTTGTTAAGCTAACGTATGCGTACCGCATAGCATCATTTGGAAAGCATGGCCGGCGTGACATTGGCCGTGCTTCTGCTGGGATGGTGGGACTGCGTAAGTGGGAAGAACGACCGTGGAAATCACATATGAACAATGATCGGGGGGGGGGGGCGTGAAGTCTGGCTTCGGCATGGGGGTTGATCTCGAATGTTCGCTCGGAGAAAAAGCCTATGTGGTACGCCCCTGTGCTGACGAACTTGGAATCGCCTATTTTATGGTCGAACCAACCACCTACCGACCTATAACCGATTGGCAGAACTCCACGGGCACACTGCCGCAAATACCCTGATCATGAAGATCCCGGGTTCGGACGAGCGAGTGGCAATGGCGACTACAGCAACAGCGACGACGACGGTGATGATGATGATGATGATGATGATGATGATGATGATGATGACGGAAGTGGCGATAATGACGAGGGCAGCGACAAGGACGATGACACTGACGATGTCGACGGCGACGATGATGACGACGACGATGGCAATATGGATGAAGCGCGTGGCTGCAATACTGACGGCGATACTGATGACGCTGGCGGTGACAGTGGCGATTGTGGTGATGACGAAGCGCGCGCGTAGAATCTCAGACCGACTTCGATTGTAACATCACCCTAAGGATATATAAGTTGAAACGCAGATGCCCCGACATCCTAAGAAACAAAACGGTTCTGCAATAATGCAGTTTTTTGTTGCGCGGGGACGCGCGCGTGTGGCGAGCATGGGATACTGTCACAAATGTGGCCAATGCCCGCTGATTGCAAAATCGTCCTGACATGCGAGCGCGAGGTCCGCGTGGCTTCCTTTGACCGACATGGCAAAACAGCAATGAGCGACTTATGAGTTCAGCGAGGGCACGCGCGCAGAAATCCGCCATTCGGAACAGAAGCCTCCGACTGTAGGACGTCACGAAAGAAGATTGTGAGCTTATTGTTGTTCCCTCCTCCTTCTGTGTCGCCTGTTTCGGGGCGGCCACCCGTCCCGCGTGACGGGGCGCGGCCGCGGGACGCGCGCGGCGGAGCGCCAGGCGCGTTCCGGCGCGCGCACGCGGAGGGGCCCCGGTTCCACGGACGTCGAAAGGCCTCGGAAAAGAAGGGGCCAAGACGGCGCCCCACGGCCCCAGCGAAAGCCCCGCCCCGCAAGGGAAGACAGACGCCTCAAGGGCCCGCAGGAGGGACGGGCAGGGGCCTCAAGGAGCCTGGGCGACTGCCAAGAGCGATCCTACGAGAGCCCACAGGCCCTCCAACCACCACCCACCCCACTAGGGTAGACCACCTCCACCCCGCAATGACGACGAGCGAGGGCGGCGGCAAGGGGGCCAGGGCAAAGACTGCCAAAAGGCAGGATCCCCTAGCCCGAAGTGAGGGAGAATAGTCACGAAGGCCTCTGAGACGCCTGAGAAACCAAGGTCCCTGGCGGCCTCCGACGCGGGTGCTTCGAGCACAGGCCGAAGGCCCCCGTTCAGCACGTGAAGCGCATCTCTCCCCCCTCGGCCTCCGAGAGGGCCTTCCTGACTAGGGCATTCCCGCCCCTGGCGGCGCCGCCGACGACCGCCTGGCGGGCGCCGGGCTACGCGCCCACGGTGCCGCGCTCGGCGCCAGCGGCGCTGTGGCACTGCGCGGTGATGCTGATCGTCGGCGCTGTGGTAAATGCGATGGTCGATGGCGTGATGGAGTAGGTCTATGCCATCTGGCTGCACTGCCGCTACTCTCATTCATTCCCCATCGCTGGATAATCAAACTGTCGACCTGGTCGGACATGTACTCGAAGTAGTCACGACGGCTGACGCCGGCCCCGCGCGTCGGTCCTGCATCGTAGTCGATCAAGTTCTGGAACTGCCATGCGACGATGCCCTACGCGACGTCGCTGGCCTCGCTGCGGTGGGCGACTATCGCGGAGGTGGTCCTTGATTCGGCATGCAGGATGAAACGAGTGATGTTCTTTATGATAGTGCTGGCCTGGTGGACGGTGTTAGTTTCTCAGCAAAGTCGGGCATTCCCCGCGTATGCTCGTCGCTCCTGCACTGAATGATGCCGTTGTGCCCCGCGTCGGTCGGGTCGCTCGAATACCAAGTTCAGCAAAGAAAGTGTATATATATATATATATATACATATAACATGCAGATGCGATACCATTGACAGTGCACCCACGGATCGAATCGAGCTCGCCACCGTCGACGCTGTCGTCGAGCTCCGCGACGGTGTCGATGATGACTCGGTCGAGCCCGCCCATGGGGGATCTGCAATCGCTGGTAAAGCGAGTCATGAGGTCATGAATCCCCACGGCCCCCGAAAAATGCATCGCTCCGCTTGTCTAGGCGCAGCTCGAGGCGGTGATGGGCGCGCCCTGGCTTCGCGCTGGCTCGCGGCTTCAGCAACTGCAGCCGGCTGCGCGGGCGAGGTCAAGCGGGGGAAGCGGAGCGATGTCGATGTCAGTCTCGTACGTCGCGCGTCCTAGCCGGTCTGTTGTTGTCGACGGCGCTGGCGCACAAATTGTTGTTCTCCTCGGTCTGATCGGCGGTCAGCGGGCTCGCAGCCGCTTCGCGCCACGCGCGCCAGGACTCCCGGCGCGCGTGGAAGGAAGGACGCCAAGGTGCTTGATCAGGCGCGGGAAGCTGTGGAACTCTGCCTGGCAGCAGCGGCGAGCCGTTCCCTTTGCCCACCGTCGTGGATGGAAAGCGTTCTCGCGGCCACTTGCCGCGTGGACTGCCACTCCCTGCTTGGCGACGCTGACGCAGATGAAACGCGCGAACTTGTTCCGAGGCCGGCCGTCATATACTTGAGCCCGTCGGGGCCGCCCGTCTTCGAGGTCGATGTATTTGGTGAACTTTT